CACCGGTGCTGGACTTTGCGCCCCCGGGCGCGTCGGCATACAGTTCGTTGGGCGGTCCGGCCCCTCCGCCGGCTCCGCCACCACCCCCGCCGCCGCCGCCTCACTCCTTCATCAAACAGGAGCCGAGCTGGGGCGGTGCGGAGCCGCACGAAGAGCAGTGCTTGAGCGCCTTCACCGTCCACTTCTCCGGCCAGTTCACCGGCACAGCAGGAGCCTGTCGCTACGGACCCTTCGGTCCTCCTCCGCCCAGCCAGGCGTCCTCCGGCCAGGCCAGGATGTTCCCCAACGCGCCCTACCTGCCCAGCTGCCTCGAGAGCCAGCCCGCGATTCGCAACCAGGGTAAGCAGGCCGGGGAGCGCCCCCTACATTTGGGGCGGTGGCGAGGGGGCTGTCGTCGAGCGCGGGTAGTCCTCTGTCCAGCCCCTTCCCTGACCCCAGCTTTTACCAGCTGCCTCCCCAACGACTCTGAGGGTAGCGGAAGCAGCAGCTGGGGGAGCAGAGGTCCGGGAGAAGGAGTTCGCGCCGGTTTGGGCTCCTGACATCCTTCGGAAACGGTCTGTTCGCATGAGCCGGGAGGTCATCTGGGGCCCCCACGACCCCTGAAGATTCCGGGGCTGCGAGTCCCTTTGGGAGTGGGAAGGGGCTGCAGCCTCTGGCTGTGCCTCGGAAGAGGTTTTGTCGCTCCAGGCACCACCAAACTGTCACCTGGCATTGGACTTTTCAGACATTTAGACTGGATTCCAGAGTGGGACCAGCACTGGATGAGCATCCGGTGCTTGCCTCCTCCGCACCAAAATGTCCAGGAATTGCTCTAGTCCTTAACACGGAGTTGGCACTTTAGACGCACAATAGGTGTCATGGAGCTCGAGATTGAATAAGGGAAAGGACTAGCAACTAACCGGTGGCTTTCCTGGAACTTCGTCATTGTCTGCGTATGGCTCCCGCGTATGCTAGTTAGTATGGAAGCGGATCTCCCCTTGGTTCCAGCTCAGGTGGCGGCCACGCGGGCTCCAGGGCTAGGAAACCCCGTTTGTCCGATTCCGAGCTGTGCGGAACCGGGTCCTATCATAGGCAATGAAATGAGGCCCGAGCTTCGGGCGCCTCTTCGTCAATGAACGCGGGGCTTAGCCAGGGGAGATTTTTGCAAGACTTGAGGGTTGTAACAAGGACAGGTTTGCTTGCTCTTTTCAGTCATTGTACATCGAGGGGCACAGAAGGTAGTTTTCTCGCCCCGCACAGGCGCCCGCACACGTCTTTCTCCCCGACCAGCGACCAGCGCTGAATCAATTGGGCCCGGCCCTTGTAGTTTGGTTTCTAAATTTATTTTAATTGTTGTTTGTTATGTTTGCACTGTTTGAGAACCTAAACCAATTCGGGTGGATTCGATATTTTAGGAAATACTTTACAAACGCAATGGCGAATGCTTTTCCTGGAGCAAAATTTCCCGCTGGGTTTAGAGGCTGGGATGTTTCTGGAATGCCTGGGGTGCTAGAAGCAGAGTGTGTACTGTTTGCAGGAGGTGCTGGCTCCCAAGGCAGAAGAAGGGCTCTGTCCTTATCTCTAGGAGGTCTCTTCCTTCAGTAGCCCAGCGGGGAGCACCTGGCGAAAGTGAAACAGACCTCCTCTTTTCCTCAGGGGAATCTGTGATCCTTGACCCTTGGGGGGTCCTCCAGTCTAGCTATTTCAGAAATGAAATTAGTGTTTTGGACTCACAGGGTGTTGGAATAACTCAGTGTCCCTCTTAGAGGCTCTTGTTCTCCGCCTGCTTGCCACCTCTATTTAGCAGGCTGATGTTACCTTTGGCAAATCCACAGGTCTCAGTTTCCCCATCTGTAAGAGGGGAGTTGAGATGGACAACCTGGGAATTGGGTCTGGCCTGATGATCTGTGCGGAAGCCTGACTTTCCCTGGGCTAGGGTTTCTAAACACAGAAGGTAGAGCAGCCCACCTAAAACTTGACTGGTCTGTTCTTGGCAAGACTGGCAGGCAGGTGTGTGATGTGAGTTGCGTTCCTGTGTAGATATGTGCTATGTGGAGCGGCCTGAGAATCCACTGATTTAAGTCTCCCAACAGCAAAATACTATTGCACCATGATCATTGAGTCCATCTAGGTACTGTGAGGATTTTTGGAATTTGGGCTCTGTTGCTTTCTTTGGGCCCATGTCCAGCCTTCTGCAGGGCAGGTCTGTTGCCCAGAATCCCATCAACTCAGCATGGGATGAGGAGGCCAACAGCCCTGGTACTAGGGCGGCTGCCAAAAGAAAAAGGTTTAGGAACACACCACTGACTAGAAGGTGAAGGAGGACCCCCTCCCCACCCTGAGGAAAAGCCCCGTGGAGAGTTGGCCCCAGACCTGGACCACAGCCTATAAGCTCAGTTCTGTCCTTGGGCTTAGGTTTTTCTCTTACAGTGAAAACATAAATGGGGCACTGGCTGACCTCTTGGGACTCATTTGGCAGCTGGGAGCTGGGGTGAGATGTCAGAAGCTGTTCCAGCTTCAGCCCTGATGTTGGCCCTGGGTGGGTTCTGAGGCCTGGAGATTCTGGATTTATTCTCTTGACTTCCGGGGTTTCTGTGGCTCTTCCAGGAATGTAGGGCCTAGTAAGAGGTTTGGGCTGAGGGAAGCAAGGGCATCAGTTCCTTCCCCAAAGTGTAGGAATGGCCATCAGCAGGCCCAGGCCAAACTCCAACGGAGAAGAGTAAAGACCTGGATCCCGGTCCCCAAATAGGGCAGCCTAACCATGGTCCTCAGGAGAGGACGATTGCTGGCAGCCTCTCACCTCCTCTCCACCCATTTTTGTCTATTTCTTAAAAACATTTATACCTGATGTCCTAACCTTACTTCTGAACATTAGTTCAGCAAACATTTACTGAGCACCTACTCTATGCCAATGCCAGGCACTGGAAATTGAATATTAAGACCATGCGCCTCAACTTTTGCCAGAACCTGACAGCCTGACATTGGAGGAGTCCTTATTTTTGGATAAGGAAATTTGGGTTCGAAGTGATTAATTGTGGGTCCGTTTTAGCTCAAGCGGTCACTTCGTCATGGCCAACACTAAGGAATTAGTTGTGCAAGAGGTCTCAGTTTGTGGCAGAGCTGGGACTCAAATCCAGACCATTCTAGGCTATTTCTACCTACTCTTCCAGGGATCTTGGCCCACTGTTGACATGAATTTCCTCTGTCCTGCTGGATGGGTGTGGAACCCACTGTAGTTAGTGCGTGAGGGTTGGGAGTTTTGCCAGGGCAGAAGTGGGGCGAGGACTTGGGTAGCCCCAGATTGAGTGTGGGGTTTGGGGAAGGGAAAAAAAGATTTTGTCAGGCCTATTCCTCAAGCCCCACTGGAGCGCCAAACTATAGCAGAAGAGGAGGCCTTGGCATTACCAGCCACCCTAGGGGTCACTGGGAAGACCAGCTTGGCCCAAGGGTCAGGGGCACCCTCCTTGGGTCGCATTGGAAAAAGGGTGTTTCGTTGTGGGACAGATTTCCCCGCATCCTGCAGCAGCTTCATCAATATCAGCCTTCTGACTGCCTGCCGTCCACTGCACCCCTCAGCTCCGGGATGTGGGGTGGGGGCGCTGGCCGACCCGGTAGTTACCCGGCTCCTCCGCTGCCTAGGGTGGAGGAGGATGGCACACAGCATTCTTGCCTTTGGCGCGGTCAAGGTTGCACTCTCTTCCGGGCTAAGACTAACCGTGGGAAAGGGGCTACCTTGGAATCTGGAGTGTCTTCCTCTAGGGTCCTTAGAAGTAGTACAAGGAGCCTTTGAACACGCTGCCCCTTTCTGCCGGCAGCTGTCTCCCCCGCCCCCGCGCTCCACGCGCCAGATCCAGCGCAAGACCTCAGGACTACGCGCTCTAATCAGTCCCGCGTCCGATAAGCTTCTAATTAAAAGAGCCCTCCCTCCCCTCGGCTCCAGCTTTCACCACCGCCCTTCCCGGGGGAATTAAATAAAGGGGGTTGGAGGCCGGCTCCTGCCCACCAGCTTGTGCGTGTCCTGTCTGGGAGGGGCCCGGAGGAGCCTCGCCGGGTATGGAGGCAACCCGTTGCCCTTGCGGCTAATCTACATCGCTGAGCCCGCCTCGGAGGACTGCACTGTGCCTGAGTCCACTGCTTACTCTGGCTCAGGAATGGAGAAGGGTTCGCGAAGAGGCAATTTCTTCGTCGCTTCGGTTTCTCCTTTATTTAAAGAAAATTTTTTTTCCTTTCAAAATTCAGCCCTTCCTCTGCAAACTTCACTGCTCAGAGCCAAATTTCGTTTGTAAGCTGAGCGGTAGGCCTCTAACGGAGCCTGGCCTCCGCTCCCAAAAGGAAGTGCCCTGGAAGCCCAAGCGTGCTCACCCACGCCTGACAGCTAACGGGGCGGGGGTTATCTTTGTCCACTTAGCAGGCGAGAAATGGAGGCCTCTGGGGTCACGCAAGTTATAGAATCTGGTGGCTTCTTAAGTTGTAGACCCGTGGTGCCAGTTGGTGCAGGAGACTTGGCCTGATCTGTACAATCTGGTAATTAAGACCTGCCCCAATCCTTCCTCCCACTCTGACAACCACATTCCCGAGTGGGCCCCTGGAAGCTCCGTTTCTGTTTGGGGGGTGTGTTTCAAAGATGGGGGTAGTGGCCTCCTTTCTCTGTCCAGCTTGTCTTCTGGGACACATGTTGCAGAGGGATCATGCCTGGGACAAGAGTGGGGCAATGGGGACCATTTGACCCAGTGCAGTGGCTGGGGTTGGGGGAACTGGACAGGTGGTGGTCTTACAGGGAGCAGATAGGAGTGTCTGGGCCAATCTCATTCCTCACTTGGTCTTGACCTCACGCCAGAGATTCCTGACATAGGAGGCCCCTACCGTTGGGTTCAGGGTCCTAAGGACTGATCCTTTTCTTAGCCATAGATACTTTTTTCCTCGAGGTGGCAACAGTTTTTCCAGAAGCGATTGGGGCCTATCTTTCAAGCAATTAAAAAACAATAATCATAGGAGGAGGCTATATTTTTCAACTGAGACACCACAATTATTTTAATTCTTACCTTTGGAGAGTTGGGCAAGAACACGGGCGGTGTTAGCTTCAATTTCCTAGCAGGGAAACTGAGGCAGAGTACTCGTGCACTGTGGTGAGGTTGAGGTACAGTGTCAGGGACACTAAAAGAAACAGGGTTTCTGGCCTGGGAACGAGGAAGTTGGTCCCCGCAGTGGTGGTCAGAGTCGTACCTACCGGAGCAGAGGAGGGTCCATGCAGAAGGGAAGGAGGAGGAGGAGGCAGAGTCAAGGCCTGCGGGCCCAACTGGAAGGGCCCCTTCTTTTCCTCCCGGCTAGCTTTCCCCAGGGCCTTAGGTGTCATGGTGTCAGGCCGCTCGGCCTCAGACAGATACCATTACTCGGCAATTACTCTCCCCATTTAAAGCCCATGCCGTTAACTGGCTCTGAGTAATTAATGAAAGTTGGTGCGGCCCCTGATTTACGGCTCGGAGTCAGCGCGGGGTCAGCCGAGCAGATTCATTTCGCTCGCCCGCGCTGCCCCTGCGCGAGAGCGGTGTCTGGTTTGGGGAAGAGCAACTTGCTTCGCCGAATGGTTGGCGGTTTTCATACTTCCTTGCGGGAGGTTCGGTCCAGAAGCCGCAGTCGTGGTGGAAGGCAAGGGCATAAACAAACTGGGAAACGGTGGGGAGATCCGAATTTTACTTGGAATAGAGCAGAGAGCGGTCCCGGTCCCGAGGTCACCTCGGGGCCCTGGGCCCGTCTTCCCGCCCAAAGTCCCAGAGATGGGTGGGATCCCAAGGCGCGGCGGGGCGCTCCTCCGCAGCGGTTCTGGTTCGGACCCATGGACCCTTTTGACGCTGTGCTTGCCTCCGCCGCTCCCGCAGGATACAGCACAGTCACCTTCGACGGGACGCCCAACTATGGTCACACGCCCTCCCACCACGCGGCGCAGTTCCCCAACCACTCCTTCAAGCACGAGGACCCCATGGGCCAGCAGGGCTCGCTGGGTAAGCAGGCGGGGATGGTGTGGGTCCTTCTCCCCTTCTTCCAGGCGACCCTGTCCGACCGACCGACCCCTTTCCCCCCCCCTCTGCCCCCTCCCCGATGAATTTCCAACCCACAGCACATTAAGAAGCCAGAAGAGGACATGTAAAGGGATTTTGAGAAATAATTAGCCTAATCACAATTTAAAAGATCGGTTCCGACCCCCCAGGTATGTTAGGGACTCCACTCAACCAAGCCTAAGAAGGTCCCGAGAGTCTGCTGTGTACTAGGCAGTGGCTTTGAAGGGAGTGTGAAGTGGGAAGCTTGGCTCTTATGTCCGGACACTCCGTCTTGGCCCGTCTAGCATCCAGGCTCCATTGCCCCCAGCTTAGCCTGGGAGCCCCGCTCAGGATGCTCTCTCCCCCAGTCCCTGCCCGCCACCCGCAACCGGAGACCTCTGGGCGCTCACTCTGCTTTCCCGCTCTCTGCAGGCGAGCAGCAGTACTCCGTGCCGCCCCCAGTCTACGGCTGCCACACCCCCACGGACAGCTGCACCGGCAGCCAGGCCCTGCTGCTGCGGACGCCCTACAGCAGGTAAGGAGGCGCTGGGCGCCGCGTCTGGGTTCCTGGAGCGGAGGGCACGGGAACGTCGGATGCGGGGCGGCCCGGACTTCGGGAGGCAACCCAGCTACTTAAAGCAAGTGGAAGCAGCTCTCCAGGCTCCGGTAGAGAGAAGTAGGTGTCCTCGTTTCCGTGCTCTCATTTTTTAATTTTTATTTATTTATTTTTTATATATTTTATTGATTTTTTTTTTTTTACAGAGAGGAAGGGAGAGGGATAGAGAGTTAGAAACATCGATGAGAGAGAAACATCAATCATCAGCTGCCTCCTGCACACTCCCCACTGGGTATGTGCCCGCAACCAAGGTACAAGCCCTTGGCCGGAATCGAACCTGGGACCCTTGAGTCCGCAGGCCGACGCTCTATCCACTGAGTCAAACCGGTCAGGGCGCCGTGCTCTTATTCTGAATATGAAGGAGCGCGGTTACTGTTTAGAACTGGAAAAGAAAGAGAGGCACTTTGAAAGTTTGTTTTTCTAGGGGCTCTTTGCTGGGAAGACCATCCTCAGGACCAAAGATGAAACACGAAGTCCACTGCCACGTGGTTCTTCTCACTCAAATCCCCTTACGGCCGCCCGCCAGCCTTCCCTGGGACAACTTGGCGGGCGCCTACCCTGGGCAACAGCCTTCCCCACCCTGGTCCGCGGAGCCCGCCGCACTTAGTGGGTGCTGTTCGGAGCTCAGGGCTGCGCGCTGGGCCCGGACTCCAGCCTGCGGTCGGGTCGCCACGGAGTGCTGAGCCCGCCCTTCTTCCTGTTCCCAGGAGGCGGAAGACGGCTTCTTTCCCTTCGAAGCTTTTTTTCCTGTCCCTTGTGCCTTCTCTCGGTTCTCGCTCCACCCTCCACCTACTCTCCCCCAAATTTATTCTTCAACTTTGGGTGAACTTGGCCAGCATCCCGCGTCTCCGATAGGGTTGCCTAGTAACTGGTGCACACACACCAGCCTGCACCAGGCGGGGAGGTGGGGCGGGGGGAGTGAACTGGCCGCTCCCGGCCCTAGGAGCCCGCGGATTGGGCGCGCATTACCTCACATACCACCCCTACCCCTCACCCCGGTGCTCCGGCGATCCTGATACCGACTGGCCCCCAAACTCATCTCCATCCTCCCTCCCCTCCGCTCCTGGGCCCGGGGCTGACGTCAAGGGAAGGAGGTAGTGAGGTAATGAAGGAAGGAAAAGCATCTGCCCTGGGAGATTGGGTGGGGGGAATGGCCGCGCCTGGGGGACCTTCAGTCCCACAGGTGGAGGAGGGGAAGGAGTCTTGGCTCCCCACCCCGCAGTGGCGCCTCCGAAAGGCCTGGCGCGCTCATGAAATTGAGCCCGGTACTGGTCTGATTCTACTGCCCCGGGGAAGTAGGGCCCAAGCCCTTTCCACTTCTGTACGCCTGAGCTGCGCCTGCTTTGGAAACTTTTTCTTTTGATTGGAAAATTCAGCATATCTAATAGAATCTTGGATTTGAGATCACTTTTTTTGTTTTTCCTCCTCTCCCCGCCCCCCCCCCCCCCCTTCACAGACAGAGATAGAAAGGTCACAACTCATCACCCTCCTTTTCTCCCTTCCTAGCTGGAACCCAGCTCTGTTCTTTAGCACTGCAGGCCCAGTGTTCTGCTCCAAGCCCAGCATCTCTGCCTCCCCTCCCTGGGTCTGGTCACTGGAATGGATGCAGAATCCCCAACCATTCTCTATTGTGATCCTCCTCCCTTAGCAAATTGGGAGTGGAAGTGCCCTCCCCCTCCTTCTTGAGGAGCTGCTCCTGCCCATTGCCAGAGTGAGGTTGCTATTCTTCTAGTAGCCTTTGGGGGAGCAGATGGAATGGCTCCCCATTGGCCTGCTCTTCTCTCCTTGATCCCTGCTTGGTGCCTCACTCCAGGTGGAGAGGAAGACTTTGATGCTGAGTGGGTGCTGTTTAGATGGGCCAGGATACCACCTGGGAGATGGGGGTTGAGAGGCTATTGGAGTCTGGTTCAGTGGTGACACACAGCTCACACACATTTCTTTCTTTTTTTAAAAAAATTATTGATTGATTTTAGAGACAGACAGACAAAAACATCAATTTGTTTTTCCACTTATTTATGCATTCACTGGTTGATTCTTGTATGTGCCCTGACCAGTGTTCAAACCCACAACCTTGGTGCTTCGGGACAATTCTCCAACCAACTGAGCTACCTGGCCAAGGCCTTGCTCACATTTTTTATTCTCCTTTCTCTTAAGCATAAACCCACCTTGTGGGACACTAGGAAGGGGCCCATCAAAGGGACTGAGCCACCCAGAAAGAAAAGGAGTCAGGGATGAAGTGATCACACTCACTTGAATAGCAGTTATCCAAACTGAGTTCCTAGGGGTGGATTTTGACTTAGGGCTAAATTTGTGATTACTATAGACCTAGGAAAAGTCTCTTGAATTGCATTGTATACATAACATTTTCACATTTTTGAGACCCAGTTTGTAATTGGCCACTCTATAAAGCAATTTTGTCAGGTTCATCTTTGGGAAATATCTGCGTATCCCTTTTTTTCTTCCTACATAATTACAACGCTTTGCTTCTCATTTTTAAATGAATGTCACAAAAATACCATTTTCTCCCATTACAGAAAATTTCCTAAGCAGTAACATCTCCTAAAAAAGAATTTGTGACCCCAGTAGGAAAAGAGCTTGCTCCCTTGAAGTTTGTACTATCTGAGTCTTTGAGGCTCCATCCACCCTAAAGTCAGTATTTTTCTAATCACTTTCAAAGATCAGGTACTTCAAGCTGAAGTACATGTAATCATATACCCTGTTAAAGTAGCTGTGTAAACAGGTATTTCACGCTGTCCTCAGTACCTCATTTCCATCCACCTATGTTGATCAAGGGACTCTCCAGGTATTGAAGTACTAAATCAGATGATAATTAGGTATCTTGAAAAGAAGCCTTTGAGGTTTAGCATTGCCTAATTGATATTCAGTAAGCACTTAATAAATGTCAAATAGTTATTGATAGTGTTCTTATTACTACAACTGAGCCTGTACCTTCTAAGAGTTGGGTTTCTTTTGGCTCTTCTTGAAAGAGTTGAGGTCTTTCTCCTTGGGCTGTCACCAGCTGGGGAGCACTGTGTTTCCTTAGTGTAACTTTTCACAGAAACACCCTGGTGGTGCCTCTTGTAGCTTATCTTTATTTTTCCTCAATTCTCTGGATGGATGGCTTGGGAAGAGAGAGCTGTATAGGCATCTTACATGTCACTTAAACAAATTGCTTTAAAAAACTATCTGGAGTAATGATATCCGATATGTCAAGACTAACTATGGAGAAATGTCTATCAGTGTTTTATAAGCTTCATCAGACAAAATAAGCTGGATTTGTTTTGCCTAATTGAAAAAAAAATGATCAGGTGCTTCCCTGGCAGTAATGATGAATGGACAGGTGTAGGGTTATTTTAAAATTGGGTCTGTGCATCGACATCACTGCAGTTATGTCATTTTTTTTCTTTTCTACTCCTTAAAAATGTTTGAAGGGGTATTTAAATGCCTTTGGGAACACAGTGTGTGAAAAAGCATGGAAAATAGGACTAAACTTGAATCACTTAATAACTTAACTTTTGGATTTTTGAGATTCAGTGGTGCTTTTCTGTCTAAAATTGGGACCTCCTGGGAAAGGCTTGTCCTATTTTGTTTACTTCATTGCACTTGACCCTTTGAGGTAGCCTGCCCAACTTCTTCCCCACCCCTCTTCCCAAAGTTTTGTCTCCCCACTATTGGATTCAGTCTCCCTTCCCAGCATGAAGTAAAGGTAGTGGCACATATACGGCCATCAAATAAGCAGCAGCGCACAGTGTGAATTTCTTTGAGGAAATTCTCAGAATTCTGTGCTTTACCACAAGAGAAACATTGTAAGTTCTCTTCTCTCTCCCAGGTAAAACATACCTGAGGAGTTACAGCTATACACATTCGTGTGTAGGTGCAAACAGTAGTGAGTAGAAAATGCCCTCAATCAACTTATGGAAAGTGATTAGGAGATGGTTTCCCCTTCCTCCTTGCCCACTCCCCCCAAGTTGAAGATGGGTAGAGTTTTGTCTAAAGGCCACGAAGGCTTATGAAACTAGATTCCAGCCCTTAGGGAAGCCAATGATCATAGCTGGGTGAAAGCGCGAGTCCCTGTAACATAGTAACTAGGATTTATTACTGCATGCTGACTCGGTACTGCTGGGCATTGTGCTAAGTGCTTCACTCAGTTCACTCATTTAATTCTTCTGATGATTCTATGAGGTAGGTACTAGGGAAGAAATAGGCGTAGAGACTAGAAGTAACTGCCAAGAGTCACACAGTGAGTGAGAATCAGAACCAGGATTCGATCCTCAGTGTCTCTGACTTCAAAGCCCATCTGAGCTCTGCATCACCGAGGGATACCAGGCCACTCCACCTCGAATATTCCCCTTATAAACTCTATGCTTTTGCTAATAAATAGTAATAGCAAGTGCTTATATACACTTACTTCATCCAGGCACCATTCTAAGCACTTTACAACTATTGACTTACCTAATCACATGAGAACTCTTTGAGTTATCATCCCTTTGAAATTCTCACCCCCACTTCACAGAGGAAGAAACAGGCCCTGGGCAATGAATTTGCCCAGTGGGACACAGTAAGGGACAGAGCTGGTGTTCAGATTCAGGTAGGGAGGCTTCTGAATCCATGCTCCTACCCACTGCACCCGCCCTGCTGCCTCTCCTGATACGTAAGTGCCATTCCTGCTCCAAAGTGGCATCTGCCCTGGGTCTCGCTAGAGGAAGGTCTTTATTTCCCACAGTTGTGAAAGAAACCATTATCCACTAGTTTTACCATAGCTTTCAATAGTAAGCACTTAGTGGACTAAGGACAATACTTTCCCCTGGTGAGCATTATTGGAGCCAACTTGAACTCTCTCCTTAAGTCCTAACAAAGCAGCTCTGTCTTTCAAACTGCAGACTCCTCTAACTTTGCCTTTACCACTGGACGTGAACTGT